CAAGGGGGCATCAGGGCCTGCTGGGTGGGGATGGATGAGGGAGAGACTCAGAGTCCACCCCTCACCCTGCTCCTCCTGTCCCTGCTGTGCTAGGGGCGGGTAATGAGGAAGGGCCCTCAGCTCCAGGTGAGACATGGGCAGGCCCCTGCAGAGGGGGAGCTTGGAGCATGGAGGTGGTATCCCCCTGGGGGACAGCGTGAGGACAGCACAGAGAACCCTCAGTCCCGTGTTCCAGTCCCAGCCCCGCCCCTTCAAGGCTGGGTGACTTGGGGCACGTGATTAAACTCTCTGAGCCTCAGTGAAGAGGGTGATGGGGACAGCAGTCCCTGGTGCATGACTGCTGTGAGGAGAGGGGAAATGAGTGACAGACCCCAGCATATACCTCACACACAGTAGATGTCATTAAATGGCATCACTGGCTCATTCATGTCATGAAGGGAGAAGGACTCTCCTGACATTTCAGGTCTGATTCCTTTCCAGGAGACTTCCCCAAACCCTCCATCTGGGCTGCCCCAGGCCCCATCGTCACCAACAGGAGCTCTGTGACCATCTGGTGTCAGGGGTCTCTGCAGGCTAGTGCCTACCTTCTGTATAAAGAGAGCGGCTCTGAGCCCTTGGATACAAGGATCCCACAGGACTCGGCTGTACCAGTGTGCATATTACAGCACTGGGAACATATTGTCACATCGGAGTGATCCCCTGCTCCTGGTGGTGACAGGTAAGGGGGACGCTGGGTCCCCTCCCCACTATGGGCTCCAGGTCACAGGCAGAGGGAGTAAAATGTGGCCTCAGGGGACTTCACCCCTCACAGAACACACCTGGGGCGTGAGGGTGATGGTCCTGTTAACACAGACCCTTTCTCCTTTCTCAGGAGTGGGCAGTGCACCCTCCCTCTCAGCCCAGCCAAGCCCTGTGGTGGCCTCAGGAGGGAACGTGTCCCTCTCCTGTAGCTCACAGTTCACATTGGGCCCTTTCCACCTGCTGAAGGAGGGAGGAGCTGACCCGCCCCAACACATGGAAGCAGAATGGAGGATCCATGCTGAGAGGTGGCAGGCCATCTTCCCTCTGGGCCCCGTGAGCCCCTCCCCTGGGCTGACCTACAGCTGCTATGGTTCTTCCAGCTCCTACCCCAACGTGTGGTCACAGCCCAGTGCCCCTCTGCACATCAAGGTCACAGGTGAGGGAAGATGTGATGGCATCCCCATCTGTTTCCTGGGCCCAAAATGACTGTGCTGTGTGTCCATTGGGACCTTGGGCTCATGGGGATCAGTGACACTGGCCTCTTGGGAACAGACCCACATGCAGGAGGCTCAGGGAGGGACATGTGAGAGCTCTTACTGCAGCCCAGTGGGCGATGTGGGGTATCCCCTGGTGCCATTGTCCCATTCTCCAAGGTGTGCACAAGGAGCCTGCCCTCTCGGCTCAGCCAGGCTCACTGGTGCTGCCTCGACATAGCCTGACCCTCCAGTGCCAAGCAGAGGCCGGCTTTGGCACATTGGCTCTGACCAAGGACCAGGGGCTCACACACCCCCAGCACCTCTTCTGTTCATTAGGGTTTGCTAGGAATGCTTTCTTTTCCTGACAGATACACATCCCCCCATAATTACCTTTTTTCTGACGTTTAACCACATCACACACTTTACAAAGGCTTCTTGGTGTCACCCATTTCGATATTAACCCAACTGAGTGACGCTCGTTGTTCATGTGAATTTTCTGAATTGTGCGGCTGACATTTAGAGTTATTGCATGGATCACTGTAAAGAGGAGAGGTCATCATTTGGTTTAAATCTTGGGTTTTATGGCAAAATTGGGAAGAGATTCACATGATTTCCTCCTTTGGGTGCTCACTCAATAATGAATTTAGGGGGGTTATCTCTGTGACTTAAAGTTTGAGCCAGAAGTGTGGACTTCCTGGGTTAGGACCTTCCTTGAACCTTGAGATTTAAAAAGACTCATAA